CGAACCATGCAGTCCCCTTAGTTCATCAGTAGGACCACCCTGCTCCCTATTTTCCCTTTAGTTCATTTGTAGGACTACACTGTTCCTTCCAACCCCCCCTAGTTCATCAGTAGGACAACTCTGTTCACCGGTACCAAACCCTGTTCCCTCTTACTCCTGCAGCCCATGCCACCCACATTATACCCCTCTTCCCTTTCGACTTGTTAACCAGTGATCGGCCCCATCCCGTCCTTCACAGATTTCAGCATTGCTTCATGATTTTTGGCAGCCGGGACGTTGCCCTCTAGAGGGAGGGGATAGTGTTACAGACTTCGCCAGGGCTCGATCCTTGGTCTATCTTTTGGTGTTTTGGCTGCATCCCGTTCTCGGCCTGGCACCCTTTTTCCAAACCCCTCCTTTGGTACCGTAGGATTTTGGACAACTGGCGCCATGCTGCAATTCGGGCGCCACTTTCAAATACTGCATTTTTCAGTTTTGCCCTCGGGGCCTTTGCAGAAATGCCCCTGGTACCGCACGTGTCACCGGTACTTATACCAGCTCCCCGTACAGTACGGGGGGCAGTCTCGTACCAGTTCTCTGCTGCTGTACTCGTACTCAGTGTGACTTGCTGTTTCGGCATTCGGAATCCAAGACTTCGACTTTGTGCCTTACCACTGTGTCTGCGTCCGACCCTCGGTCCGAGTCCGTCGAGTCGAGTGAGTGAGTGTGTGTGTGTGCTCTCACTCTTTCCCTCTCTCTCCTCTCCCTCGGCTCACCCTCAGCCTCACGCTCGTTACAGGAAGCCTATCGAGAGGACCAGTTCATGTCTGAGATCATACGCAGATTTGAGGTGAAGGATAAGAAGACTTCTGCCGAGTTTGAGTTGATCAACGGCTTGCTGTTCCTTGAGAAGGAAGGGAATAAACGTTTGTGTGTCCCAAATAGAGAGTCTTTGCGTAGTTTGTTTTTAGGTGAGTGTCATGATGCCACCGACCATTTTGGGTATAAGAAGACAGCAGCCAATCCGCTGCAACGGTTCTGGTGGCCCACGATGATGCGAGATGCCCAGCTGTACGTGGAGACTTGTCAGGTCTGTCAGAGAGACAAGCCACGTACTCAGGCTCCTCTTGGGCTCCTGAAGCCCCTTCCGATTCCGGAAAGGCCTGGTGAGAGTTTGTCCATGGACTTCATGGATACGCTGGTCACCAGCAAGAGTGGGATGAGACATATCTTCGCCATCGTGGATAGGTTTAGTAAGTATGCTAGGTTGATAGCCATGCCGGAGACTGCAAAGACCGAGTACGTGATCAAACTTTTCAAGGAGAACTGGGTCAGGGATTCTGGTCTGCCTAAGTCCATCGTGAGTGACAGGGATGTTCGATTCACCAGTGAGTTGTGGAAGGCTGCTGCTGCCGAACAGGGAACACAGTTGCAGATGACCTCTGGGAATCACCCAGAAGCCAATGGCCAAGCCGAGCAACTGAACCGTGCTGTACAACACCTGCTGCGGCATTACATCAAGCCCAATCAGGTGGACTGGGATGAGAAGCTTGCTCTCATCGCCAGCCTGTGTAATAACGCTATACACCGCGCCACCGGGGTGAGCCCAAACAGCTTACTACTGACCTTCAAGCCTAGACTGCCCTTAGATTTTCTCCTTCCTGAGAACCAGCCAACTGCTGCACCGGGAACCTTAGAGTTCGCTTATCGCTACGAACAAAAGATGCAGCAGGCGGTAGAACAGATGCAAAAGGCACAGGCGGCAATGATAGAATCTGGAAACAGACACTGCCGCCCATCTACATTCCAGGTTGGGGACAGAGTCTGGGTTAAGTCCTCAGAATTGGGACAGGAGCACGGGATCTCCCGCAAGCTCATGCCTCAATACTTTGGACCATGGGAAGTCTTAGATGTAGTCGGGACTGATCCGGATGGACCGTCTTATGTAATCCGGATCCCAGGTCATCTCCGCACATATCCTGTCTTTCACACTTCTAAGCTTGCACCCTTCGAGGAAACTGATCAGTTTCCCTCTCGTCGCTCAATGCTGCCCCCAACCATGGATGGAGAGGTCGACATCGATGACATCGTCGACCATAAGGAAATGCCCGTTCCAAGACCGACAGGCAGGGGACGTCCTCCGAAACCGAAGCTGCAATACCGGGTTCGGTTCAGACATCACACGGATCCAAAGGAGGATCGATGGTTCACCAGGGAGGAACTGATGTAGACCGCTCCTCAGGTTGTTGCCGAGTATGAAAAGTCTCTGCAGAAGGGAAAGCGCCAGATTATTGAAGACTGAACTTCTCAGAGGACTATCAAAGTTATGGAGGAGGGAATGAGAGGCCAAGGCCCCAATGAGCCGCTTTTTGGCCCTGTTATGCAGCACGTCGGCCGCCCTAAGTGAAGGCAGGCTCGACGAGGGCCTGAGGACCCCTATCTCGGTCACAACGCAACTCTGGAAAATTCAGGCAGTTGCGCAGCGCCAGTTGGTTGAAAAGCACCCAGGCCCAGGCCGCTTGTTTGCATGTATGGAAGGTAGGCCCTGGGCTGGATACGGGATATGGGCCAAACACAGGCCGAGGACAGTTGGGCACAAGTAACCACCACAGGCCCTGGGCCTGATTCGTTTGGACCGGGCCTCAGCCTACCGGGGCCTACCGGAAGCTTCTTGGGAAAGGCCCAGCGCAGCCTGGGAAGGAACGCAGGCAGGCCACTTCCATATAGCAAAGAGCCTGCCTCCGCATTTGGCATTCGGGTGCTGGCTGCATGCTGCGCAAGCGCTGCTGCGCTGAAGCTGGCTGGCGCTCACGCGCTCACGGGCGAGCAGGAAGGAGCAGGCAGCCATAGCCGAGCTGCGCTGCTGTGAGCTGGATGTGGCGCAGAGTGGTCCTTGGGTGAATGTGGCATCTGTGTGTTGGGGAACGAGGTTGTGAGTGATGCGAGAGACATACCTGGTGCTGGAAGCGTGCGGCATTGGCCACTATCTGCTCGTACTTCGGGAGAGCTGTTGTCGTCATCTTCAGCATTGTAGTATAGGCTAGATAGGATCTGCCATCTGTAGTCTGGGCGCCGAGTGCCAGATAGGATATCAACATTGCTTCTTCATTGATGATGATGATGAGACTATTCCAGCATTGTCAATTATGAGCTTTTGGTGTACTCTTATTTGGTGAAACTCGTGATGCAATTCTGCTATTGGTTCGAGGTCACGACTATCTGGTCTTATGTGTATGATGCTGTTTGATTGCTGAAGTTCGCTATTGATCATCTTCCTTGCATCCGGATCGTAGCCATGATAAATACTGATGATGCTACTCATGCTCTTCCTGGCTACGATTTCGGCACGGTGAGCCTCAAAAAATTCAAAAAGCATAGAATGAAGACCTATACTTTGTCTGGGTACATTCTACCCGCTGCTCTAAGTGTGTCGGGCCTATTCCCGCCACTCGAGTGTTTTCCCCACTGCAATGGCCACTGGTAACTACCGGCCCGACGGGGCCTCCCAAGCAAGCGAGTACCCTTGCGGGTCACACACACTCAAGCCGTCAAGCACTCAGACAGGCACGCAGACCAGCAAGCATGCACACACGCAGACTTAGAAAACTCAGCAGAAAGCGGGAATCTCAGCAAGGCATTCATTCCAGCGGCAAAACTCAGAAATCAACCGTGTTCTCAGTCCGTGTTTGGGCAGGTCCTTACATAGGCACATGACTGCGATTCAGAATGCCATCTGGGGATGCTCTAATGAATGTAGCTTATGTCTGTAGGGAAGGTGCTTGGCAAGTGTCTGTTTGTCCGGGTCCTTTGAGGACAGATCTGACCGGACAATTTTGATTAGGGGGCCTAAGTAGCTTCTCCACGTGTTTGTTCATCTGTTCAGCTTGGTTGTTGGCTTTAGGGCGATTCCTGAGGTCAACTTCAGTTCTGATCCTAGCCGGGTAGCTAGATCCTGCCACAATTCAAGAAGGCAAAGATGCCCGTTGTCGGGTCTTTTCTCACCAGGTCCGGGTAATCCCCTCAGATTTTCCAGAACTTCTCAGCACCGTTCAGTGATTTCTGATTCTGCGGAGCCAATCTGGTAGCAGAACCACTCTCAGATTCTCCAATGCTCTGCTTCTCACACCAGGCGTATTGACCTCCTTACCCTGAAAAAAGTCTGCTCATTGTGCGACGTCCAGATGGCCCACAGCGCAGCCCCTAGCAGGCTCGCACCACTTCGAGCACATAGAGCTTCCACTTTTCTTCCCTATCCACTGCCATCAGAGCCCCAAGCAGGATAGCATCCTCCTCCTCCTCGTTCAATACCCATGGGAGGGCTCCCTCATTGCAGACGCCCACCGCTTCCTTCTGTCTGCTATCGCTGCGCAGAGTACGAAGAGGTGAGGGATGGTCTCTGTCTGACCCCACCAATGGGCCAGACTCAAAGAGCATTCACTTTGGGGTTCATCACCTGATGCGCGCCTGCTTTACTAAAGCAGAAGTTGCCTACATAGGCAGTGGGTCATCATCTGACACGCACCTGACTTATTAAAAAAATAAACAGTCAACTAGAGGGCCATCATCCAACTCGCGCCTGACCTTTCAGACAGTGCTCATCTTTGTGCGACTTTTCTTGCGCCAAAGGGACTGCCAGGTGGTAGATCTGCCATAGCAATTCGCCTGCCTCAGGTCAGGTAGGGTCTTTAAAATCACACACTGCTCCCGCCATTTCCGAACTGTCCATCTAAGGATAATGCAGCCCATCTATCAACGACCTATAGATTGCATTCATGGGGATCTGCTACAGTTGGATACTCCTCTTGTTGTGGTTCATGGGGGTCCTGCACCAGTTGTCGGCTACTCTTGCCGCAATTTAATGGTAATGACATCGCAAGTTTTGCAACACATTAGCAATTCTTTTTATGAGGTATTGACATGGCAACACATTAGCAAGTTTTGTGTCATGCGCATTATTCGCGTCATGGTCTCTCTAACCCGACATACTTGGAAATCTGCAATTATGCGTCTTTTGCAGAACCGGGAGCCGGGTCTCCATTGGCAGTGGACGATGGAGAGAGGTCAAGGACACCTTACAATTCATTAGATCAGATCAGGCATGGAGAGCTGGAAGTTCCTGAAGATTCACGGCTCGCAGCTGCACGAGCTGAATGTGTCTCATGGCAGCAGAAGGCAGACAAATTCAGGGACGAGGCAGCTTTGCTTCGTCAGCAGCTGAACTACAATAGTGCATCACATCTGGCTGAGATTACAGCATTGCAAGCAGCACACGATGCACTCAAATCTGAAGTTGAGACTCTGCGTGCTGAGAATGTGGAGCTTGGAAATGCACGAAGTGATTTAACTCGACTGGACACCCGCAATAAAGAGTTACAGCAATATGTGAGCTCGGTCGAAGAGAGGTACGATGACCTCGTTGAAATGTACAGGACTCTTGAGGAGTCACATCAAAAGATGCAACAGAGACTTGACGATGAGGAAGGCATCAAAGAATCCATGGAGGAGGATATGGCCATTGCAAAACAGGGAATGAATCATGAAGAGCAGATCAGAGAGCTACGCCAGCAGCTGGCTAAGACCGAGAAAGAGAAGCGTGACCTCGAGATTCTGTTGAAGGAAGCAGAAGAGGAGACTGCAAGGGTCCTTTCTGAGGCACAAGGTGGTTGCTGCATTGAGGAGCACGGGGATAAGATAGAAGAGCTGCAGCAGAAAGCAAAAGAACTTGAGGATGAAGCCACAGAGCTAACCTATGAGAACATGGAGCAGGCCGCACGCCTCACACGAACAATTAACGACCTCACACAAAGGGATAGCCTTATTGCAGAGCTACAAGCTAGTTTAAGCAGACTTCAAGGCGATGCAAAGGAGGTGATTCCATTAAAGGATCATCAGAAAGAGGTGGACAAGCTAAATGCTCGTGTAGCAGAGATGGTTGATGAGGTAGAAATGTGCGCTCAGTTGTTTGAAAACACAAAAGCAGAGGTGGAAGAGAGGGCTGAAAGAGTAAGATGCTCGCTGGAAACAAAATTACAGGAAGCTAAGGAAGCCCAGAAGCAGGCAGAAGCTATTGCCGAAGGCCTGTTGAATGAGGCCAACACAGAAGAGAAGTCTTCTCTTTGCACGGAGTTGTTGCCAGAGCCCAAGCAAGCGAGAGGAGGTGGTAATGGGTGCTACCTTGTAGTTGGGGGACGGGACTGCATTCCAGAAGTGGTTGAGCAGGAGGTCAAGGTGAAGTTGGCCAAGCTTGATATACGGAAAGTGAAAATCACTCAGGAGTTGTGCTTAACAGAACGTGAAGGCAGAATTATGGTGGAGGAAAGAGAGGTTCTACTCTCAAACATGAAAGGTGCAAGTGGTCAGCTGTTGAGGTCCTCAGAGGAATTGAGGCAATTGCACGACAAGATCATGCAGTTAGGGTCGGAGATTTGCATGAAGGAGGGGGAGGAAGACAAACTGAAGTCCTTGCTTAGAACAAAAGAGGAAGGCTATAAGGAACTGGAGGACCCGAAGGATGACGATTTGGAGCGGTTAATGGAGGGGCGCGAACAAGGAGAGGAAAAGGTTGATGGATGCCAGGGAGAAATGGAAATGAATCCGGAAACGGTGGTCGAATCCCCCACAGTGTCTGCCCCGGGCACAACTTCATTGAATACACCAAACGAAGTTGCAAACCTTACGAAAATTGTCTGTCAAAAGGATTCAGAAATTGCAGAGCTGGGTGAGAGAAACATGGAGCTCGAGCAAAAGATTGCAGAGCTTGAGTCATCTTGGCATGAGAGTGTTGAAGAACTCAAAAGCAAGCTGGAGTCTGAAAGACAAAAGGCAGAAAATGAGTCAAGATTACATGCAGATAGATTGCTGGAAATCCAAAGACTAACAGTGGAGAAAGAACAGCTGGAGCTGCAAGTTGATGATGCAAGAGCAGAGGCCACAGCTTCCATTCATATATCAGAGGCTAAACTTTCCTCCGTAGGGGAGCGATTGCACTCGGTGAGGATGGAAAGAGATGCCAGTCTGGCACAAAGCCATGATCTGGAGGAGAGTGCTCGTGATATGCAGTTGAAGCTATTATCAATGAAGAAGGAAAGGGAAGCGATTCTTGCAAAGGTTGCACAACTGGAGAACCAGGTTGAAAAACTTGAGAACGATAACGAACAGATTCAGGAGCAACTGACCGCCTGCAAGGGTGAAGTCGAAAGACAAAAAGAGAGAACTGCATCCGTGGAGGAGGATAGCAGAAATTTGTTGGGGAAGGTTGTTAGTCTCACCAGTGATCTTGCAGCTGCGAAGTGTGATGGAGAGGAGGAGAAGCACTTGGCTGCCACAGAAATTGTAACTCTCAACCATAAACTGGATTTGACAAGGAAGGAGCTTTCTGAACGAGGTGCAAGGGAAGGAGAGCTTGAGGCTCGGAACAGGGAGATTCGCTCCACAAATTGCCATCTCTCTGAAAATATGTTGTCCCTCGAACGTGAGCTGGCAGTCTGGAAGGAGAGAGCGGAGAGGTTCAAGAGCGAGCTTTCTGTGCTGCAGAAGGTGTTAGATGCCAAGTGTGAACGCGAAAGTCAACAGGAAAAAGACTTGAGCTTGTTGCAAAGTGAGAAGATGGCGCTGGAAGAACGGGTGCAAGCATCTGACAATGCTCTGCGGAAGGCTGAAGAAGAGAGGGTAGCTGCTTTGGCCAGACTTCAATCTGAAGTCCAGAGACTTACTGAGCAGCTCTCCTCAGGCAACTGCGGTGAAGAATCCTTACTCTCTAAGGCCAAGATGGAGATTTCTGACCTGTCTAGCGCAAAACAACTGCTGGAGGCACAGATTAGGTCAATGGAAGAGGAGGCAATGAAGAGGGAAGCGGACACAGAGAACCACATTACACGTCTGGAAACAAGGTTGACATCTCTTGAAGAAGCCTTGGATGTGGAAAGGACCGTCCGACTGAAGGTAGAGTCTAATGCGAATGAGCTGGAGGCTAAATACACAGATGCAATGGAGAGAGAAGCAGCCATGGCACGAGTGCTTTGTGACCTGCAGATGGAGAAGGAGAGCTTGATAGACAGGGTGGGAGACCTTGAGGACAGGAACATTGCATTGATGGAGGTAAAGGACATGGTTGAGAATGCGCGGAAAGAGCTTTTCAAGAAATTGCAAGAAACAGAACTCAAGGCCAAAGCTGCAAATGAGGAGAACTCGTCTCTGGCCGAAAAGCTCGAGAAAGCAGAGACAGCTTTCGATGAAATGCGGAGTGCCGAAAGTTCTTGGCACACAGCGATGACGGACAAAATTCAGCAGCTGGAGGACATGCTTCAGAAGCGTCAGTCAGATAATGTGCGATTGTTGCAGGCCGAACTGTCAGCTACCCATGATCTGCATCGCAAGCTGGACGAGCAGAGTAGGGAGTTGGAAAGAGTGGAAAGGGAGAATCAGGCACTGCTTGCGAGGGTGAATGACCTTCCTGGAAGTGAGTTGCTTCTGCCAATGAGTGAAGTGGTAGAGCTTCGGAGGACGGTGAAGGTGATGGAGTGTGAGCTGCAGAGCAAGGTGGAGGCTATCACCCTGTTGGAGGAGAAATTATCTCAGGGAGAACACAGTCAGAGTGTCAGTGTCGCAGACCAGTCAAGTGGTGGTGGGAGTAAGCCCCATCACTCCCATCAATCATCAGCAGATGACATGAATGCATCCAATGAACTATCTGCACTCAAACTGAAGATCAAATTGCTTGAGGTATGTATTATCTAGGCAACAATGTTTCTACTATAACTGCTAAATTGCCGAGGGGGTCTTGGACGACGCTTCCAAATGGGCCCAGAGTGTCCCAGCAGTGTTGTGCTTCCTCTGGCTGCCAGTTTATGTTTTTCTCAAGGGTTCCAATTTCTTTCGTTTGAGAGAGGTGAAACGGTTTTTTCACATTTGCATTGACAGATGCAGATCCCAGGGTTAGATCCCTAGACCTTACCTCACCCATGTACAGTATTAAGTCGACCCCGTGTGTTTTGAACCCGTGACCTGTGTTTTGGTAGCTGTGTTATGATTCTGGTTGTTTGTTGTCTGAGACCAACACTCGCACACATAGACTTCCAGATATGCCCATACATACCCAGAAGGAAGGGGGAGAGGATAGGAGTATCACACCGCACAGGGAGAGAGAAACACAGCGGAAGACTTGACCATGCAATATGACAGGGTACACTGAAAGTGCAATTCACTCCACTCAATCCTCACAACCAGTCATAAAGAAAAGCCGAGTAGATCACATCCAGAAAACAATGAAACGATGGTAGTCCAAACCCAGTATTACACTGTTTATTAAACTCAGAGTCTCGAATTGTCAGGATAACCTCGGTACTACAGTGCGCTGCTCAGAAATGAGCAGCGCTTCACTCCCCAACCCCGAGTAGCCACCCGTGACACCCCTGAGCCCCTGAAACATCAAGCGCCACCGAGATACAGCCTCCAAAGGGAAGCGCCACCCTGAAACAGGCCTCTGAGGCTAAGCGCCACTCAGAGGATGAAGAAGAAAACCAGCGCCACAGTATCTGATGATGACGAAGTGTCGGAAGACTTTCCGGATGGAAGTCTGCAGCAGCGCCACCAACTCCTCACAAGATGACCTCTGAGGAAGAAGCTGCAGCTATGGCTGCAGCGCCACAACCCTGGAACCCCACTCCAGAGGAGGGTCCAGCAGGGCACTTCTCTCGCCTCCAACAGGCCTCGATAACCCAGACCTCTGACAGCCCCTACGTGGTGGCAGAGTACAGCGCAGGCCCCAGCTATGGCCGGCGCTCCGAAGGTCTGGCTATCTCTGTCTCCTTCCATGCTGAGCCGTCACCACTTCCGGTTCACGCGTAGCACAGCAGCGATGTACTCGGTACCAACTTCCAAAAGCCCTGAACCGATGTGCCCATCCTATCTATTGTTACGATCCTGGTCATTCCCAAAGTGCAAATTCACAATGAAAGACAATGCCACCCAATTTCGAAAGAAATGAAAGCACTTGCAAAGAGATAGAGACCAGAGGACAGAGAAAGAAGAAGAAGAAGAAGAAGAAGAAGAAGAAGAAGAAGATGTACACCAGCAAGACCAATGACAATTCCCCCTTCTCTCTCCACCTTCCTCCTCCTCCTTCACTTTGCCAATCTTATTCTTCTCCCAATAATAATAATAACAATGAGTGGATGAACCAGAATCAATATCCGAAGTTCCCCCTTACTGCTGACTCAACAACAGCAATAACAACAAGTCCACCATAGCTATGGCTTCCCTCCTTCTGCCTCCTCTCACATGCATAGGCTATGGCGGACTASTGAGGGCCCTGCCCTCCTGTCCAAAGGACAACCCAAAGCAGCTATGCTGCTGCTGACTGGTCCGCCATGCCAAGCTCTGCCTCGAGCTTCCTTGGTGCGGCACTACCCCAACTGGGGCCTTCCAGATGCAGCGCCCAACAAGGTGATGAAGATGGTGTCCAGCATAGCCAGGTAGGTGCCTCGCCACTCTCCTCCTTTGCCCCCTTCTTCCTCCTCCTCAGGCTGGGCTGCTCGCCATCGCCAGGCTGAGCGCCCAGGCTGCCCTTCACCTCCAGGTAGCGCTGTATCAGCCCAGCGCTCCGCTCAGCAGCATGTCGCCAATGCTTGCATACCGCAAATGACGAGGAGCTACTTGCTCCTCCCGAAGATATAGCGGCCTACTGGCCTCTTGGGCGGTGACTTCCTAGGCCGAGCGGCCTCCCAGCAACCGGTACCTCCTCCCTTTCGGAGGGAAACATCATTGCAGGCTCTGCTATCCTCCGGACAGGCCCTAGACCCGGGCTACTTGGACTGGTACCGGCCTACCTCTAGCCTACCTCTAGCCTACCGCTACTGGGCCTTTAAAAATGCCAACTTTTTGCCTTCTTCTGCTCGGCCTCCAGTACCCGACACTTCTACCACTACTTGAGTGGTACCGTCCTACCTGCTACTTGAGTGTTTTTCCCCTCTACTCTAAGTGTCGTGGGCCTACCCCCGCTACTCGAGTGTTTTCCCCGCTGCAACCCTCAATGTTACGGCCACAGGTAAGTATCGGCCATGCGGGGCCTTTCAACCAACAAGTACCCTTGCGGGTCACACACACACTCAGCCGACAAGCACTCAGACAGGCATGCAAACCAGCAGGCATGCACACAC